AATGTGACTCCAGACCCACAACAGTGTGTTTGACTCTTAACTGCCTTCAGAAATGGCCTTCAGATAAAGGGACAATTAAAGATGGACAATGAATGATAGCCCAGTCAGTGATGTTGGCATCCCTTAAACAAATAATAAAAGATAGCAGTACTGCACAGATAGCATAAGGAGACATTGCAGGTAGAAAATATGAAATTTCCATGGCAGGACATATAGAATTTGGAAAACTTGAACATTGATAAACAGGCATCTTTCCTGGCAGGTCTTCATAAGGACATAGTGCTGTTCTGTAAAACGTGTGTCAGGTGATGGAAAAACCTCGACATAAAAATCAAATAGATACCATTAATACCAAACAAAGCAGAAATTGTTGGAAAACACAGGTCTGAGTTCTTCAGCAGTTCTTCAGAATTGGAGTTCTGGACCTGAAACATTAACTCTGTTTTCTCCTCATAGATGCTGCCAAACCTGTTGAGTTCTCCCAGCAATTTCTGGTTTTCTTTTTGATTTCTTGCATCCACAATTCTTGTTTTTATCATTGATACCCCAGATAGGATTTTGAAGTACCTTTCAGGCGAGTGTTAGTACACTGTGTAGGACCTTTAGCGTTAATGAAAATGGGACTCTTCCATAATCTTGCAGTTATGGATGTGACATATTGATTTCCAAAAGTCATGCCTTTGAGGACAATTATAGCTAAAGTAGTGGTGAAAAAATTTACTCAACTTTTTGCTCATTATAGACTACCAGTAGAAATAAATCTAGAAACTTTGTCCAACTGTTTGTCTAAAATGTTTGAAGATAAAGAAAGTAACTTGGGTATAAAACAGTTCAACTCTACTGTACATCATCCACAAATACAGGGAGCTTTGGAGAAATATAATCAGACTCAAAACACAATGATTAAAGCATGTTGTCATAAATATCCTCAAGGTTGAGATAAAGATTTGGATTCCCTGTTATTTGCTATCAGACACCCTCCAAATTAATTTACACAGTTTAGTCCATTTGAATTAATCTATGGTCATAACAGGACCATTGAAATTGATCAATGAAAAGTTTTTAAGACATGACTCATCAGTATTGGCTTATTGTTCCATATTTCGAGAAACAAAAATACCACATGAGTGTGGAAAATACCATAGGAGCATTTAAGATTTTGACAAACAAAGATGAAAGACAAGTAAGCTGAAACCAGAAGATTTCAAACAGAAGACAAAGTGTTAGTATTATGACATTAGGCAGCAAAGCTCTGTAAGCAAGCTTCAGAGGTCCATTAAATGCAATTAAGAGTGTTAATAAAATGAGTTATTTAATAGATCTCCAGATTGCAGGAATAAGAATCAGTTATGTCATGTAAACATATTCAAACACTTTCATTATTGCTAGGAAATTAAGAAATAAAGTGAGAATAACAGAACGTAATGAAGATAGTAAGAGTGAAGGTAAAGGAGATGCAGACAAATCACAAATTGAACTTCTTACTATCTTATTAACCAGTACTGATGTACAGGGACAGTTAGGCAGAGTATTCTCATGCTTAAAGGAAGGACAATGGAAAGACTTAGTAAGACTGCTAATGAAATTCATGGAAATTTGTAGGGATCCAATAGGGTGTACTCTCTTAGGTAGATATGATGTGGCTGTAGGGAAGCGGTTATCATTTAAAACAGGCTTAAGTAAAAACAGAAATTCATTGTATGTTAGAAAGTCTCTTCTTCAAACCTAGCCAAAGTAGTTGGAGTTTACCCTTAGTATTAGTTCCTGAATCTGATTAGTCAACTAGGTTCGATATACGTTAAAGAAAAATAAATGCAGTAACAAAAACAAATTTGTACCCAATTCCTCAGTTAAAAGATTATATCGATTAGGTTAACAGTGCTTTATTCCTCACTAGATTCATCTACTAAAGGGTACTGGCAATACCATTGATATCAAGAGCTAAAGAAACATCAGCTTTTGTTACACCAAATGGATGTATCAATATCAAGTTATGGCATATGGGTTTAAAAGCTCTCTAACTTTCAAAGACTTATGAACCAAGCATATGCAATTGTTTGGTTTATTTAGATGATGTATTTATATACAGTAAGGCTTGGGAAGAACATGTTACACAACTGTAAGTCTTACTCAAACAGATACAGTTAGCTAACTTAGTAGTAAACCTTGTTAAGACTTAGTTCGCAAATGCAAGTTTAACTTAGTTACGACATTTTGTAGGGAAAGATAAGTGTTGCTAAGAAATTAAAGGTCCTTAATAGAATTTCATGTTACTACACTAAACAGGAAATCTGCAGTCATGTATGTTTTTGTCCAGTCTTTGTACAAATGTGTGTGTTTGGGATGAAGTGGGATACGAGTAATAGAAACAAAAAGAAATAATTTGATCATTTTTCGTGATTGAACAAGACATTTACTCTTTTGATATGGCTTGTGAAATAGTGATACTCTATTTCCAGCACATTCTTTCCACCAGTTTCATAATAATTTTGACCACACCTTTACTACTGTTGACTCTGTCAACTCAATAGTTTAAAGATGACAATCTAACCAATGTCTGCATTATTGGTTAATGGCGCAGCCTCCAGCATCATCATCCTGTGGGCCTGTATAAAGCCATCCTTGTGACAGAACTCCATGATAGCTCATTATTGTTAAGGAGCTTCAGTTGTGGGAAGTCTTAAGTGGATCCCCTCTGGAGTCCTGCATCCAGTTGTGAGCAATTAACACACCTCAGAATTATTTACTGAATGAGACCATAGCCAAAAGGTTGAAAGCAATGTATCAACCCTGCTTATTCCCATGAGGATGTGGAATTCCTTTCCTCAAAAGGGTATAGATGCTGACACTGTAACAGATAATTTTTTTTGTTAAGTAAGAGATCTAGACTATAAAGCAGTGCTGATTAAATTGAGTAGAGATACTGAGGCATGTGGTCTAATCCTGATCCTGTATATATCAAAGGCATGAGAAGCAGAATAGAATCAGTCTAAGATATTGCTTTGGAGATGAATGCAGTCCTTTTGAAGAGAAGGTCACCTTCTAGTCAGCAGTAGGGATGACAGGAAGACTTGATGCTTTCACTTGAGTCCTGAAGCTGGGAGTCAATGAAATAATTACCCAGACTGCGACACACTTGACATTTTGCGTCTTGTTAAAATGTGTCTTAATAGGTCTTCATGGTAAACTTTTGCAGTAACACAGAGGGAGAATGCCAGCTGTTCATTCGCTTTCTAAAGGCATCTGCCCTTCATCTTTTATTAGGGTAACCTTCACCACATCTATTACAATTACATTTGATTTAAGACACTTTAAGTAGAATAAGTAACAACTCTTGTGTAAATCTAATAGGTTATAGGATGCCCACACAACCATTCATTATACATTCTTGCTAACTTAAAGGAGGAGACAGTGTCATAGTAATATTATTGCTGGACTAGTAATCCAGAGGCTTAGCCTCTAGGGACAGGGGTGGAATTTAATTTCACTGAATTAAAAAGGAAAATCTGGATAGAAAGCCAATCTCATTAATGGTGACCATGAAACTAGCATCTCTAGTCATAGACATCCCTCTTCTCCTTTAGAGAAGGAAATCTGCTGTCCTTACCTGGTCTGGCCTATATGAGGCTGCGGGTCCACAGTAACATTTTTAACTCTTAACTTTGCTCAAAGGATGGGACAGCAAATGCTGGCCTTGCTCATGGTGCACTCATTCTATGAATAAAAAAGCATCATTTTCATAGCCCCACTGGCTCAGGAAATAATAGGCACCATTCAGAATTTAATGGTGTATCACAGTCGGCCGGGCATGGTGGTCTTTCGGTGCCCCATGGCAATCTTTCAGCCTGGCATGGCCTCAGTGTGGACTTGCATCCTTGAAGTGACTCCAGAGCGGTCTCCTGGCCTTGAGGTGAAGCCCGGTCAAAGCCCAGCACAGACTAGAGGCTTGGTGCTAACGTGGACTGCATTGGAAGGACAGTTGTTCTGAATTTTTTATATCTCTATTTTCTGATTTATTCCTTTGAGCTGTAATTCTGGATGTTTTATTTCTTTATGTTTCCTCGTTTTCTTTTCCTAAGAATATGTACTGAAGAATCTCTACCTAGGTACTTTGTATCTAAGATGGTGTTGTAAGTGGTGACTTGTAAACTTTTCACTGTACTCATTTGAGTACATGTGACAAAATTTTCAATTCAATTCATACAAATGTAGGAAATAGAAGTAGGTCATTGGCCCATCATGGCTGATCCAATTGTGGCCTCAATTCCATATTCCCACCTACCCCAATAAGCTTCAACTTCCTTATTAGTCAAGAATCTATCTACCTCTGCCTCAAAAATATTAAATGCCCCCGTTTACACCACTCTCTGGCAAAGAGAGTTCCACGGATTCACAAGTCTCAGAAAAAAAAGCTCTCCTGATCTCAGTCTTAAATGGGATGATGATTATTTTTAAACTGCATCCCCTGGATCTAGTCTCTTCTACAAGGGGAAGCATCCTCTCAAAGTCCAAAATATCAATTCCCCTCATACTATTATATGCTTCAATCCTTTCATCGCAGGCATCACTTGAGTGACCCTTCCCTGGACTGCTTTAAATGCATTTATATCATCCCTTAAATAAAGAGTCCAAGACTCATAGTACTCCAGATGTGACCTTACCAACATTCCGTATAACTGATGCAAAATATGCCCTTGCAATAAACATTCCATTTATCTTCCTGGATAATTAAGTGGTTATTGAATTAAAATGATGTGTAGAGTTATGAGATAAGGGTGAGAGAATGACACATCATCACAGTGCTCATTTTGAGAGCCATGAAGAAACAATGGGCCAAATGGCCTTCTGCACCATAACAGTTCTGTGATTCTGTAATCACTTGCTACACCTGCAAAATAATTTTTTGTGGCTCATGTACAAGGACACCCGGATTCCTATGTACCTCATAGTTGCCCTGTATATGTGCTGCACAGTTAATTCCCAATGACCCAATAACTCACAGTCCAGTCAGGGCTGGTCCGCATTTCTCTGGTAGGCCCATTCTTTGGGATGGTACTGGGTGCCTGTTCTGGAGCTAGGTGCTGTAGTCCTGATCTCAAGATGGCTTTCCTGTAGACAACAAAGGAAATTCTTTAGCATTTGACCAGCAAAAGATGCTCATATGAGTGATGAGGATCTTGGCATGCTATAAGTGGGAGGGGACTGAACTTTTTCCAGGACAAATCCTTGTATAAAGCTAGACTTGACCTTTCCAGATGATATCCTGAAGTCACCAGGAGTTAAATGTTAATCTCCAGGACACTTAAAACAAAAATAAAACACTTCCGTTTACAGTTAGCTACTAGCTGTAAAAATATTGTGGATAGGATAAAAGCTGTTAGACAGAGTGAGTGTTGTGGGAGGAGCTCATGTGATTCAACTTCCAGGAATATGTCTAAACAAAGGTGATAGATCTTTTCAAACCTCTAGGAACTGTTTCAAGGCAGGGGTAGTTACAATGAGCTTTTGTTTAACAATAACAACTTGGATCTACATAACTGCTTTCATGTAGGAAAATGTCTGAAGGCACTTCTCAGGAGTAGTTAATAAACAAAATTTGACAGCATGTGCATTCTTAAGGATTTAGGACCGATGACCAAAATTCAATTGGTTAAGAGGTCAGTTGTAAGGGTTAGCTTCAAGGAGGAAAGAGAAGTAGAGAGACAGAGAAGTTCAGGAAGGAAATTCCAGAGCTTATGGCTTTGGCAGCTGAAGGCACGAGAACACTAAGTGTGGAGTGATTGAAGTCAGGGATGTACAAGAGGCAAGAACTGAGAAACACCGTATCATAATGGATATGGTGTTAGTGGAGATTACAGAGATTGGGAATTAGATTATAAGGATGACATTGTCCGTCTTCATCAAGTAGTCCTCAACAGGCAGATGGAAGATAGACCAGAAAAAGAGGAGGATGACCCAGGGAAGAGTTCCGTAACAGCTCAGACCCACCAGTTTAACAAGACCAAAACATTCTATGCCAAAATCCAGTTTGTCTTCTGGTATGAGCAAACCATCCCATCACAACTATTGTTTCTTTATCAATTGGATGAGAATTTAGGAGGGTATGGTTTGTAAGTTTGTGGATGACACCAAAATTGGTGCTATAGTCGACAGTGAAGAAGGTTATCTGAGATTACAAAGTGATCTTGATCACTTGGGCCAACGGGCTGAGGAGTGGCAGATGGAGTTTAATTTAGATAAATGTGAGGTATTGCATGTTGGTAAAACAACAAGGGCAAGACTTATACAGTTAATGGTAGGGCCCTGGGTAGTGTTATCTAACAGAGAGACATAGGAGTTTAAGTACATAGTTCTTTGAAAATTGCATCACAAGTAGACAGGGTGGTTAAGAAGGTGCCTTGATTGTTCAGACCATTGATTATAGCAGTTGAGATGTCGTGGCGAGTTTGTACAGGATGTTGGTGAAGCCACTTTTGGAGTACTGTGTACAGTTCTGGTCACCCTGCTATAGGAAGGATATTATTAAATTGGGGATAACACAGTGTGGAGCTGAAGGAACATAGCAGGCTAGGCAGCATCAGAGGAGCAGGAAAGCTGATGTTCCGGGTCAGGACCCTTCTTCAGAAATGGGAGGAGGTAAGTGATCTCTGAAATAAATAGAGGAGGGGTGGGGCTGGGGAAGGAAGGTGGGTTGGTGATAGGTGAGTGCAGGTAGGCAGTGGTGGGGACCTATCAGCATCCCAGAGTTATCTCTGACTCCAGCATCAGCAGTTCTTACTATCTCTGAGTATATTGTTAAATTGGAGAGGGTTCAGAAAAGATTTACCAGGATGTTGCCAGGAATGGAGAGTTTGAGTTATAAGGTTAGGCTGGAGCATAGGAGGTTGAGGGATGACCTTATGGAGGTTTATTAAATCATGAGGGGCATGAATAAAGGTGAATAGCATAGGTCTTATCCCTGGGGTGGTGAGTTCAAAACTTGGGGACATATTTTTAAGATGAGAGGGGAAAAATTTAAAAGAGACCTGAGGGACAACTTTTTCACACAGAGGGTAGTTCATATGTGGAATGAATTGCCAGAGTAAGTGGTAGATGCAGGTACAGTTACAACACTTAGAAGAATTTTGGATAGGTACATGAAAAAAAGGAAAGGTTTAGAGGGAAACGTAGGCAAGTGGGACTAGTTTTAGACTGAAGGGTCTGTTTCCGTACTACGACTCTAATGTATCATATTTAACCTGCTGCTGCTTAACAAACTCAATAAACTATCAGAAAATTACTTACAAATCATTGACTACCTATATTAGAGAACTGTGATCATGAACCCCGTAAAATTAACAATAAACATCAGTGTTTTAGATGACTTCAAATCTATAGGAAGCGACAAGGCAAATCACGGGAGGCAAGCAAAAAATACTTTGGATTAGTTAAGCCTAGAGGCCTGATTGTGAGCTTCATCAGCTGATGAGCTGGGATAAGTGTGGAGTTAGGTGTAGTTACAGAGGTTGAAATAGGTAGTCTTAGTGGCATGAATGATATATGGTTCATCTGTCAAGCAATTATAACACCAAGTTCTCAAACAGTTCAATGAAAGAGATGGAGTCAGTAACTAGGGAACAGAGATTGCGACAGGGACTAAAGACAATGGCGTCGTCCTTTGCAATATTTAGTTTAAGTAGATTTTTGATCATCTGGGACTGGATGTTGGACAAGCAGCCTGTTATTTTGAAGAAAGTGCAGAGTCAAGAGAGGTGGTGGTGAGATAGAGCTTAGTGACCCCATGTGGAATTATGTTTTTGGACAAGTTGGTTGAGGGTGTATGTGTCAATCAGAAACAGGACAGGGCCAATGAAATAGATGTGAGGGACATCAACGATAACAGTGTGGGAGATGCCATTGCAAGTGATTCTTTGGCTACAATTAGATGGATAGAAGTGGAGCCAGGGGAGTCTCACACAGCTAGACAACAGTGGAGAGGTGTTGAAGGAGGAATGTGTGGTCATTGTATCAAAGGCCACAGACAGGTCAGGAAGGACGAAGAGGAAAAGTTTATCTTTGCGGCAATCACTTAGGATGCCATTTGTTACTTTGATAAGATTTGTTTTAATACTGTGACAGTGGGAGGAAAGCAAATTTTGGGAAGGGGGTGGCCATAGATCTGAAGGTGTCAATGCTTTGAAAGACTTTGGAAAGAAAAACAAGGTCATAGATGGGATGGACAGCAGAGTCAAAGAGTTGACATTTTTAGAAGAGGAATGGCAACTTTAGATTTGAAAAGGAGAGGACATACTAAGGAGACAGAACAATTAACGTTAGCTAAAAAGGGAATTCAGAAAGAGAACGAGGGTGTCAGCAGTTTAATGAAAATGACCACTCAACCTGCCATTGCTGGATAGATCAAAGATGTATAAAATTTCAGGGCTACAATATCAAATAAACACTCACTTACTGAAGAATCTCTTTCAAAATGGGTGGGATGAACAAACTATAAAACTATTCATAGAATTGTATACTGTGTGTGCCCAAACATTACAATAAAGGAAAATTAGATACTGCCCTTGGAGTTGGCACATAAAACACAGGCTCCATTTCTTTCTTATCAAAAACATGATAAATCACTTGTATTGGACATCTGAACTTGTGATTGTCTGAGGTTGACTCTTGACTGTCCTCTGAAATAGCCCAGCAAATCACTCAGTTCAAGGGCAATGGGGCTGGCAGCAAATGCAGGCCTTGCCAGCCATGTCAATATCCCATGACAGAATAAATGAAAAAAAGACACCAGTCCCTGGATAATGTTGGACATGGAAGCTTGTAGGTAGGTTGAAGCTGGAGGAGATGACAGAATTGCTGAGGGCCAGGACTGGGAAGGGATCTGAAATAAAGGATGAGAATTTTATAAAAGTAAAAACAGAAAGAACTGCGGATGCTGTAAATCAGAAACAAAAACAAAGTTGCTGGAAAAGCACAGCAGGTCTGGCAGCATCTGTGAAGGAAAAAACAGAGTTAAGGTTTCAGGTCCGGTGACCCTTCCTCAGAACTCAGAATTTTGTATTTCAGTTTGCTAGACAGAAAGCCAATATCAGTGAGTACGTGTTCCGTGATGTACGTTAGGACACAGGCAGTGAGATTTAGAACAAGCTCAAGTTCAAGGAGCACAGAGTGTGCAATGTCAGCCAGGAGTGCAATGGAATCGTCATGTCTGGAACTAACAAAGGCATGGATGAGGGCTTCAGTAGCAGATGAGCTATTGTTGGGCAGAGCCCGACAATATTTTGGAGTCAGAGGCGGACAGGCATGTTGATGACACAGACTCGAGGACAGATACCCTTCTCAGGGTTAAACACAACACTACATCTGATCATAGGTCAGATTCAGCTGTTAAGCTCTCCAACACTGAATAGCCTCATGTTTTCACTATTCAGGCTGTTTGACCACACGGGGCAGTACCTGCAGAAACACTATAAACACACATCACACACAGAGGCGAGTGGTGAAGGAAGTAAATGCCAAAATAAACAAGGATGCATCTTTGTGTCATAGGGTTGCTATGGAAAAACACACTATAACTGGTTAAAGGTCAGCTAATAATTAGGCATTCAAAGCATCAACTCCTGCAGAGTTGAATCAATGGTTTACTGTGTGACAGTCACAGGGTACTTGGTGACAGGCAGTATGCAGTGTGACAGTCGCAAGGTGCTCATTGACAGATACTCTGCAGCGTGACAGTCATAGGGCGATCAGTGACAGGCACTCGGCAGTGTTACAGTCACAAGATGCTCAATGACAAGCAGTCTGCAGTGTGACAGTCACAAGGTGTTTGGTGACATGAATTCTGCACTGTCACAATCGCAGGGTGCTCATTGACATGCAGTCTGCAGTGTGACAGTCACAGGGTGCTCAGTGACAGGCATTCTACAGTGTGATAGTCGCAGGATGCTCAGTAGGCAGTCTGCACTATCACAGTCACAGGGTCCTCAGTGACAGGCACTCTGAACTATCACAGTCACAGTGTCCTCAGTGACAGGCACTCTGCAGTGTGACCGTCACGGTGCTCACTGACAGGCACTCTGCAGTGTGACAGTTGCAGGGTGCTCAGTGACAGGTAA